CACCCACTGCCCCCTCCACCCTCTTTCTCTCCTTGTATGACACTCCCTGTCAAAAAGTTTTTGCATCTGCTCCGCGAACGTCCTCCTACATGTCTCCTTAACGTATCCCGCCCATTAAAACTCCATATTGTCTTGTGCTCACTTTACATCTGTCCTTCTCCTTACTTTCATTTTTTTATACCCCTGTCTGCATGCTGTGTCTGTGTCTCGTCTCGGTCCATGTGGCGTACTCAATAGGGCAGCTGACTCCAAAGTCACATGGATCTCTGCATGTTTTTTGGCTGTACCATTTGAGTTTTGCACTTTCAGTGAGGGGTCCTCACTGTCTTTCACTCAGCATGGGAACGGGATCGTTTTTGAACTTTCCCTATTCACTTTTTTTGCCCAGAAGTTTCTCTTTCCATACAAAAATATATTTCCAAGAAGCTTAATGTAGGAGCTGCTTAAGGCCAAGGAGTTACACAGTTATTTTGATTTATAAATGTCTAGGAATGCATCTACTCTTTGTCCAGACTTACGGAAGCCAGAATTGCAGCGGAATCAAATAATGTCAAGAGTTTGAGCAGGCGGATAAAACATGTACAAAGCAGAGGTTGAATAAGTCAGAAACCTTGGAGACACATTTCTACTGCAAACCACCAANCCCCCCCCTGCCTCCATTGGACTCTGGAACACTATGTAACACTCGCTTTTCTATTGGCTAGCGCTCCAACACATTGTAAGTGGGAGGCTGTGGCTCAGTGGCTAGTATGATGGACTTTGAATCAGGGGATAGCAAGTTCGAGTCCCACTGCAGTCAGCATGTCGTTGTGTCCCTGGGCAAGTATTGAAGTAAGACGCCTTGGATAAAAGCGTCTAACAAATGACATGTAATGTAAGTGATAGGCTAAGGGCCGGGATATCTCTAAGCTGTTGACCAATCACAACAGAGCCGGCCAGCTAACCAATCAGAGCAGACCGGGCTCTGGTTTCAGACAGAGGGTGAAAAGAGGGGCTGCAGCACAGGCAGTATGAGACAAATAAAGAACTATTTGAACATTAAAGCATGGAGCCATGTCCCAGTAGACGCACAGTAGGGTTCTTTAATAGCACTACTTGAGTAAATAACAGTTGCTTTCCAACTGCTCAATGTAAGGGTTACTGTAAAAGTTTGGTGTCGGAGGAAGATGGAGCTGTGTTGAACTTCTAAGTGTAGGGCGGGAGTTGGCACCGGAAAGAAAAGCTGCGTAGGTACAGTCGAGCCTCGGGGGGAGGGGGGAACTGCATTTGAGGATGACCTGACGGCACAATTACAGAGCATCATAAAGCATGAAATTGTTTCCCGGGTCGTGTTAGGAGAGAAGTCGTCCTGAAAAAAGGACAGGACGGAGGGTCATAGGAAGTGTAATTTAATAGTTTTCCCAAATCTTTATTTTCCAAAAGGCCAGAAGCAACAACGTGTTTCAACTGGTTCAGATGTTGGTCTGTATGAACGGACGATCATTCCCTGAGACAGCTCTTGACATTTTCACGCCACAATAATCTGTTAAAACTAATTTAGCCGCACTTCAAATGAACCGGTCATGCTTATTGAATCTTGGGATGTCTTTTTTTTTCTTTTTTAAAACAAGGTCCTTCGCAGTGTGTGAATGAAAGGGACAGTTAAAGGTTAGAAAATATTCAAAGATGAGCCTCAGTTATGTTTACTCATTCAGTTCAGCGTCGCAGCTGAAAGGAGTTGGATGAGATTAAAACAAATGAAGGAACAGGTTGTCTTTAAAGATTTTACCCATTTTATCGATTTGCGTCATTTAACTTTAATCAGATGTCTAATCTGTTCTCCAAAACCGATATACAGCAGAAGTTAGAACATTGTCAGCTATGAAGTAAATGTATTCGTAGTTGTAAAAGTATCGCAGCTTTAATGCGTTTAATTCAATTTGAGGAAGATGCAGCCTCCGAAATGACTGACAATCTCTCCATAAAACTGTATCACTGCTCTCACTAATTACAACATAGTCCAGCCCAAAGACATCCTGATACAGTATTTAGTCAAATATAAAGTTTAAATCTAGAAAACTAAATATCTATGCTGAAGTTAATCATTAAATATTGTCAAACGTATTCCCATAAGGCTTCCAAAGTCCGACGATGTTCACATTTCTATCATTACTCATTTCGCGTGACAAGTTTCATATTGTGAAAACACACCTATTGAAAATAGAACATAATATCATATTTTAGAGGATGAAAACGACACTTAGACTACAACAGCTTTTTGTCAGGTTGTCTCATTATTTAGAGAAATACTATAGTCCGATACATATCCCATACGTTTGGCTTTCAGCTCTGAACGTCCCAAAGCATTTCCAAATAAACGTCAGATTGCATCTCTTATCTGATGCTGAAACAAAATCCCCTTTTGGAAACACAATTTCGCCCCAACAAGAGAAATCATGGCGTGTAGAGGCTCGGCATACATCATCTGACGTAAGCGCCTCCTTAGATTTCCTCCCACTTCGAGCAGTGAGTCATATTTCTAAAGAATCTCTTCAAACACCCAGAGACACCTAATATGTATGGGAACAACAATACCTGCAGAAAACTGTAGTGTGCTAATACTCAGCAGGCGATAAATGATCCCGCATCACCAGTGAAGCCTCTCGTCCGATCAAAAGCAGCCCTGATGATCGTGTGAAGTCATGAATAGACCAGATGCTGTTGTCTATCATACATACAGTTCATGCCAAGTTCATTCTACACTGACATGAAGACAAAAAAAACGATTTCAAACAGTGTGAATAAGACAAAAAAGGGATTTCGGAAAATAACACACCCCAACAGGACAAAAGGACTGAGATGAAAGCAAAGAGTGAGCAAAAGATAGTATTTACGTGATCAAATCAACAAAAAAGAGAAACTAAATTGTTACCTTGACATACGTTTCACTCTGTATTAAAGTCTTATTAGACGGGTTCACACCTAAAGGTCTGTTTCCAAAATCAAAACACTGCAACATCCTTGCATTGTTTTGAGTTTGGAAACAGACCTTTAGGAGTTCATTGATACATTGTTTAAATATTCAAATGTTGGGTTGACAAAGGTTAACCTCAAACAGTTCCTAAATTGTATGTCATGTTGTGGAAATGTTCAATTATTTGACCCACAGTTTGCTCCTTTACTCAATAGTTGTCTAGAGACACTTCTGTAGAAGTAATTGTTGCTGATGATATAATCAATACTTGTGTTTTCTAGGATTTTATCATTTGGTTTTTCTAGAGGATATTATTATGATTCTCTCTTTCTGCTAGCAAAGTGTTTCCGGCTGTTACGCCCCACCAAAATGGCCATATGGAGCTAACAAAGTTCCACCACTGACCCAAATATAACACAAAAGACACCTTTTAAAATAATCTAATCCATAGGATTTATTATAACAACACATCAAATGTTTCTACTAGGATGAGCGGCCGAGACACAGCAGTCCCCACACCAGAGGCCTCTCCCTTCTGCTGCTGCACTGGAGCTTTTAAGCACTTCCTTCTCCAGGTGAACCTCGTTACAGCAATGCAGCACACCTGGGTAGAGGAACCAAAGGGAAAAAGAAACAGGGAATACATACAGCCGTAACACCGGCCAAAGAATGTTACAGTTTAAAAATGTGGAAAACTAAGTGAAGGATGTAAGCTTGTGACATAAGATTCAAATGTCCAGAGAATGTTTATATTCTGACAGAGAGTATAAACTCTAAGATTCTGTCATTCTTCAGACACTTGTATTCAGTCTCTTTTAGTGTTTAACAACAATATCACACTTTAACTTCAATAAACCTTGTGTCTGTATTCCTATTGTGTTATATTTTAATGTTCAGAGTGTTAGGGGACTAGTTTCAGGACAATGTCTTTTCCTACAATGTGATAGTCGTTGTTAAATAAATCATATGGAGGCTAATTAGCTGGCTAGCAAACTGGTCTCCTAGCGATGGGGTATGAGGCCATTTTGAATAGTTCGCACCTCTATAAATCAAAAAGAGAAAAAGGCAGGACATTTTAAAAAAGCCTCAACAGCTTTTGAAAGTGAGGATTTATGTTTTTTTAAGAGAAGACATGTTTATAGACGGGGTAGTTTTGGAAAACTGAACATTTTAGCGTTAGAGAGTGAGGCGAGGAGCGCTACCTAGCTAGGCTACTAGTTCACCGTCATGAAAACAGCAAAGGAAACGTTAGAATTGGACATTCATACATCATATCATATAAAGAAGATTACAAATGTTTTCTTGACAAAAACTGAACAATAAACCATTTCTTTCAATGTAGTGAATTCTTTACTGTAGCAGCAGATGTAACACAATGATTTGTAGTAGCAACACAGAGGCAGTCGAGGTAACGGAGACACCTCATTAAATACTGTTGTGTGAACAAAGTGAAAAGGCCACAGTCTATATCACCGATCAGCTATCATTTTCCAACACAAAAATCATAAAATCTAAAATAAGAAATAGATCTATTCTCTTATTGGGATCCCTCACTTATTTGGAAAATATAATATAGCAGAGAAAGCATTAACATCCGGGCTCCAAACGCTTCTATGGCAGGAAATTGTAAACAATATTTAACATAAATCAAATGACACAATCTCGTAATTTATCGTAGAGAATTCAACATATTCAAATAAAAATTAAGGAAAGCCCAAAGTGAAATTACTTCCAACTTTAAAAATAACCAAACCATGAAATTCCTAAAACTAACTTGATCTGAAATGTAAATATCATTATATTGGGATTTGATAACACTCAGGAAAGATTGGCACATAACCTGGGATTGCTTAAATTGTTTCAAGGCAACATCTTTGTAATACTAGCTAAGGCATTAATATTGATCTCATGCTACCTGATCAGATGTTTTTAAGTCATTGCTGAGAGACGATATAGGTTATTAGCGTCGAGACGGAATAAGTTAATAAGGAAGTATTCAAGTGTCATGAATGCAAAGTGCGACTTTGAGGATAACATGTTTTTATCATTTCCACATTTTGTTTTTGCTACATTTTACCTCAACCAACCAAAGTGGAAAAGTTTTAAACCCGAGGACACACCGTTGTTCAGATACAGAAATCATCTTGAATGAGTGCCTCATACACACACTGTTCTGATATTTAGCAGGACAAAAGACATCGAGTTTAATACCAGGCTTAATTCAGTTTATAGTGATGTTGTCTCAGACGTCTTCAATACTTAACTATTGTTTAAATGACTACAATTCAGTGTCAAGTATGTCTTCACTACATTTAATTATAGCCATTTAAATGCTGTTAAAACAACAATTTCATGGAATCCAGTATCCAAGCTTTACCCTGAATGTCCTGCGACTTAACAAACGTGGAATATTTCCACCATTTCATTTAGCAGAACTACCATAACAGGCAGCCTGCGACCCAGAATAATGAATATACTTGTATCCCTCAATTTCCACTTTACCATCTTAGTCAGCATCCATGCACTGTGTAGTGGGATTTTCCCCAGCTTTTGATTTCATGTGCACACGTACCATTTACTCCTGATTCTCATTCCTCCCGGCCACACAGCTCCTCTCTGTAGATGCAGCCACTTTGTGTCCCTGTAGTAAACATTTGATACACCTAAATTGTCTGTACGTTCAGTGGAGTAAAACCCAGGGAAGACCTCCGCCAGCATCAATCATCGTAATCTCCATCACTGCCGTATTCTGTAAAGTGAGAGAGAAAACATGGTTAACTATTATATATATGATGACACTGACTCTCCCCCCCCTTCATTAACATTATGCATTACTTTAATGTTCATTATCTGAAGAAATCATTTTAAAAATGTGATCCATGAACATAACTATATATTTTTGCACATTTGTGTCCCAAGCTACCTCTTTTAAGATCTTCACAGCTCTCAACTTTATATACCAATATTTAATTTTTTAGTATTTTGTTATATTTGACTGTACTTATTTTTTCTAATTGGTATTGTGTGCCTCTGCTGTGTCATGTTTACATGATTTAATGTTCAAAACGGGCTTTACTCTGGGTGTTTCTAAATCTCGAGTACGCTTGCTTGGTAGCACATGTCTTCCGAGTCACTTGCTTCAGAAGCGAGGCAAGAATACTTCCTGGCATTCGGAAAACAAAGAGTGGAACAGACGAGCAAGTGTGCAGGTGTGCGTCCTATGAGAAGCCCCGCCTTACATTTTCCGCCACAGATTTGGGGAAATTGGTCCGTGCGCAAAGCATTGTGGGGATTTTAAGACCGCGGAGTCTACACATGTGCAGCCTCGAAATGTCTCCAAACGAAGTACGCCGGGCTCGGTAGAATTCCAAGTAAGCTGGAGATTGGAACAGTCCTTCGGCGGCACTCGATGACGTAGTATGCTTGAAATATTGGCTCTGGAGCAGCTTTACTCGACATTGAGAAACACCCTCTGTCTGAAACCAGAGCCCAGTCTGCTCTGATTGCTCAGCTGGCTCTCTCTGTTGTGATTGGTCAACCGCTTAGAGATGTCCCGCCCCTTAGCCTATCAAGTACAATGTGTTGGAGCACTATCCAATATAAGCGCGAGTGTAATATAGTGATATCACCGTGTTCCAGAAGTAAACAAAGGAGGGGATTCATGCAGGGGGTTTGTGGGAGAATAATGCATAATAGGACCACTTTAAGTAAAGTCCACAAAGACATTCTGCACTTGTTGTGTGACTTCTACTAGCACAATGTGAGAGGTGTAGCCTGGGTCTCTGCAGGCGGAGTAATCCATCATGTGGTTTAACTGTCCTCAGTCTCTGCTGGCTCCAGAGGTGCAGCTCTGAGCGCGACCCTGACCTCTGACCCCCCCGTGGAGGTGGGCAGGAGTACAAACAAAGAGCTTCCCTACGGGAATCAATTAAGCAGCTCAGGACTTTTTTATTGCGGCGGAGTCAGGGACCTTACATTTAACAGCCAGAAACGTAAAGCAGAAGAAATTCAATCTTACCGAGGTCTCATTAAAACCTGCCAGGAGCCTGAGCCAAACAGAGCCGTGACCCTCAGAGGAAGATTCATTAAACTAAAGTCATTCAAACTATTCCACAGTCCAGACACTGAGTCGGACTGAGAGGTGACAGAGCAGTCTGCCACGGCGAGTGTCAACGAGATTCAAATGTGAAAATAATGAAACAATCTCAGTAGGTGAAGAATTTATTTGAATAAAAGACTCTAAAGTCAAAATGTATATTACTCCTTAACTGTTGGGTACATTCTTCGGTCTAGTTTCAAGGCAAAGAAACTAAACAATAAATAGATTTGTGAATTGACAGAAGTAGAAATTAATCAAAAGCCCATGAATAGATCATTAATCATCTGCAATTATCTATAAGGATGTATCTTGTAAATTGAAATTATTTTGTAATAAGCGTATAATTTGTGCCTGCTCTTTATCTAATTGTGTTTTATTTGTTGTCTCCATCTTCACTTATGATGTAACAATGTCAATTTCTTAAAAGACTGCTTCAAGAGAGTAAGTAGGAGAAGATAAGTAAGTGTATTTAGAAGGAGGAAAAAGCAAGGGGGGAAGTTTTCCGTGCAAGTGATAGACTAACTGAGATTTGTGCGCGTGTGTGTGTGTGTGTGTGTGTGTGTGTGTGTGTGTGTGTGTGTGTGTGTGTGTGTGTGTGTGTGTGTGTGTGTGTGTGTGTGTGTGTGTGTGTGTGTGTGTGTAAACTGACCGTTGCTGCCCAGCAGATCGAAGGCGCTGACACACGCCTCCTCTTCATCCTCCTCCTCCTCCTCAGCAGCAGCAGCAGCGGCGGCAGCATCATCGTACACCACCGGCCCGCTCTCCACCAACACTGCTCTTCCGCCGGCGGCGGGGTTTCCCACGGGCACCGGCACGGGGTTGGAGTTGCTGATCTGCACAAACAGGAAATATTGTTTTTTTTGAGCGGGCGGGTGTTGAGTATTTTTAATATTTTCCTCTGCGTGATACACGACTTTCCTCCGGGGAAATCTAGGCTGGATCTGCTCTCACATGCCCCACTTCCTTTAAAATGATGAAAAATAATAAACAGCGGTGTAGTGGTGAGGGTGAGAGCTGCAGGGCAGGTGGAGGGCACGAGGAAACATTTCATCTCCTGCAGCATCCTCCACATGTGACTAACAACAGCATCAGAGCGTGACCACAACCTTTCCAATCTTACATTTTATTATTATCTTCTTAAAAAATGTGCATAGTCAACAGTAATGATATGCTACAAAAGGGTCAGAATGAACCAGCCTCAGGGGGTAAGTACCCTTCAGAGGTTATAAAGAAGATAGGAAATAAAAAATGAAGGGGTTGAGTGTGAGCGTGGGGGCGAAAATGTAATTAGAGTGCCCTTTTTTGCATTTCACCCCGTTCACATTGTGTTAGTGGAGCTGTCTAATGTTCATGCATGAATATTACGACTTTGCCCCCTTTGGGAAAAAATGAGTGTATGATCAGGAGGAGCGTTTCCAGTTGCATGCTGGGAGGCACAAATGTGGCCGTTTTTGATCAGAAAACAAGCCGCATGGGAACAGGATGAAATGTTAGCAGAGAAAATAAACAGCTGGTATGATAAAAAGTCCGGAGAGGAGAGAGAGGGGACATTTTCCAGCCGTGGAAACGATGATACAGTGGGGCAAAAAAGTATTTAGTCAGCCACCAATTGTGCAAGTTCTCCCACTTAAAAAGATGAGGCCTGTAATTTTCATCCTAGGTATACCTCAACTATGAGAGACAAAATGAGAAGAAAAAAAAATCCAGAAAATCACATTGTCTGATTTTTAAAGAATTTATTTGCAAATGATGGTGGAAAATAAGTATTTGGTCACCTACAAACAAACAAGATTTCTGGCTCTCACAGACCTGTAACTTCTTCTTTAAGAGCCTCTTCTGTCCTCCACTTGTTAACTTTATTAATGGCACCTGTTTGAACTCGTTATCAGTATAAAAGACACCTGTCCACAACCTCAAACAGTCACACTCCAAACTCCACTATGGCCAAGACCAAAGAGCTGTCAAAGGACACCAGAAACCAAATTGTAGACCTGCACCAGGCTGGGAAGACTGAATCTGCAATAGGTAAGCAGCTTGGTGTGAAGAAATCAACTGTGGGAGCAATTATTAGAAGATGGAAGACATACAAGACCACTGATAATCTCCCTCGATCTGGGGCTCCACGCAAGATCTCACCCTGTGGGGTCAAAATGATCACAAGAACGGTGAGCAAAAATCTCAGACCCACACGGGGGACCTAGTCAATGACCTGCAGAGAGCTGGGACCAAAGTAACAAAGGCTACCATCAGTAACACACTACGCCGCCAGGGACTCAAATCCTGCAGTGCCAGACGTGTCCCCCTGCTTAAGCCAGTACATGTCCAGGCCCGTCTGAAGTTTGCTAGAGAGCATTNGCACCACGCACGCCACGCAGGCACGCACACACGCACGCACCGCACGCACGCACACATACACACACACACACAAACACATTCTGCTGTTCTGGCAGCCAAATCCCTAATTGCCTATTTATCACCTAGCCAGATTCAGACCGTCCAAATCTAGAGTGGACCCCACCTACGGGGGCTACTAATGGCTCAATTACATGGGAATTGGGGAAGAAGTTAATCATAATCAGAAAAAAAAGAGACCTGGCCTCCCATTCATTCTCCCTCTACCTGGCCTCCATCATTCTCCCTCTCCTATGACACACACACACACACACACACACACACACACACACACACACACACACACACACACACACGCATACATACACCCACTCACCATGACAAACATGATAGTTCATGAAAAGAACACCTGGACTCAATCAAACTATTTTTTTATATCCAGATGTCAAATAACTATAATTAACAATTATACAATTCATTTGAGCTTTTAACATTTCTCATGGTTAAATTACTGTTGGTGACTCTCGAAGTCTTTAGCCTGTACATAACCTTTAACTTGTATTCAGTGCATTTAAAATACTGAAGATAACAAGGACCTTCATCAAAGAGATAAAGCATGGAAGAGTTAAAGGGCAAACAATCCTATAATAGCTTTGTGTGGATTTTTTTCACCTTCTACCATGTTTTATGTTGCTGTTCCTTCATCGTAGGACATGACAGGAGGCGTTCTGGAGGAAAACCTCAACTCCTTGCAGCTAAAGGAAGGAACTGATTACTACCATTTCAACTGACAGCTCAGAGTGATGGAGACGTGAAGAGGAGCCCTGCGGCTTTAGAAGAAGAATGCACACAGACTGAGGGATAGACAGGTGATAAGAAACGAGTGAACCAAACACTGGCACAATAACTCTACCAAGACTAGGGAAAGAGTACGTTTTAATGTATGTTTTAAGTGTTAAAATATTATTTCTATGTGTGGAAATTGGTGTGAAAACGTAAAAGTGCAAAGTTGACGCAACCGCTGATGAAAGCAAAACAGTTTTATCCCAGCCCTGTTTCCTCCACCACAATAGTGAGATAGCTATCTTTGATAGATGAGAACACTCTCTCATTTCTGTTCATGAAATATGACGTTACAGCCAGGAGAAGCAAGACTGGAAACAGTGCACCAAAGCACGCTACTGCCACATTACGCATGCTAAGGCACGACATGAGACCTTTCTTTTCCATATTCTAATTAGGAAAAGCCACTGGTTGCTCAGAGGGAACTTACAAAACTGCGACATCCTGCTCTAACCCGCTATTCTTGATTAGCCAAGTATTTTTTCTAAATTACAAGACCAAGATTTAAAAAAATAACACAGGCTAAATCCTGTCATGTTCAGAATTCTGCAGCTGTTCCTCTGTTGGGTTTGGAATGACAGAATGGAGTATTGTGCGCTGTGCTGCGTTGAAGAGGATGTTACGCTACCTAACGTCACTATGACAGTCAGGTAAGACTCCCACCTACATTGACAGAGTACTATCCACAGTGAAAAAGGATATAGAAAAAAACATCATCTACCAAAAGGGGTTGAGTTTAGCTGAACCATGCAGGAGAAATTAGGAATATTTAACACATCATATCAGGTTTGTTTTATTCATACAAAAAATAAGAATGGGGAGTATTGTATAACCCAGAATGTTTTTTAATTTGTGTCAAACACAGTAATTCCAGGTTTTTTTATCCTGTTTTAACATACTCATTTTTGTAAGAATCAAACAAACTTTGTGCTAAACTACGCTAACCATCCAGCCTGTGGCTTCATTCTGCTCAACAGATTAGATTGAAAGAAGTGAGAACAGGGAAGAAGTAAGTATGTTTATTTCCCCCAAATACCAACCTATTTCATAAAAAAACTTGAACTTTGGTTTTCATGCCAAAAGAAAGTTTCTGTTTCTCATGCCAGAGGATATTACTGTTGCCGATGTTGTAGGAATAAAATGTTTCTATGTTTTCTAACCCTGTGTGCCCAGAGATGGGTATTTGCCAACCTGTACGCTTGAACTGGTGTTGAAGTTAGAGGAAGCCATGTGAGTCAGCACCATCACAGAAGGTTTAACTTATAAAGGGCGGGATGTTTTATGACCGGAATCACTCCGATTTCTCAATAGCCTTCGCTGATGCAACCATGCAAAATCAGATACACGCACACAGCTGCTGCAAATGTACAAACATGGATACTGCATGTATTTGTTTTTCTTTCCCGGGGTCTCTTATGAAATCTGAAGAACAATAACCTCTTTAAGAGAGCACAGTTTAGATACGTAAACACGCATAAAAAGTTTATTTTACCTCACAGAGTGTGGAGTTTTTCCGCCCAAAGGTAAACAGACCTTTTCCCACAAAATCTCCCCCAATGTTTCCTGGGTCAGAGACGTGGTCTGCCTTACTGTAAATGTGGCCGCAGCAGTTTGCAAGGAGGCAACAGTGGCAGAAAAAAGGGTCTTTTACTCTGCTAAACTTTTATTTTCAAAAGTTTGTATGTTATATACTGAACATACAGTTACACAGTGTGCCGTATTAGAGGTTAGGCTCGGAGTCCCCGTGCACCGTTCATAATGGCAGCCCACTGCTCCTAACACTAGGATGGGTCAAATGCAGAGAAACCATTTGGTTACATAGTAAGTAGGCCCACTGTGTAATGACAATAAAAGTATAAAAAAGAAAAGAATTGTGTTTGATAAACTGCGGGACTGTTTGGACCTGATCCAGCCTTTGGGGGGAACCCTCTGCCTCTGCCACCCCCAGTACAGTGCAGTGTTGGGGCTGAGAAAAATATCACATCCACTCAGCACTCGGTCTCCATTTCGACCCCTCTTCCCTCTGTTTGTGAACGCAAACACTAAAACAGGAAGGTGTCTTCCACAGAGATGTGATTCTTTACAGTAGGGCCGCAAGTAATGATGACGTCATTCGTCTGATGATTAGTTTCTCGATTCATTGTTTACTCTACAACAATTTTAAGAAATAGTAAATGCCGTTACATTTTTCCAAAACCCAAGCTGAAATTTTTTTAAAGCTTAATTTATCTTACCAACAGTCTGAAACTAAAGGAGTTTTAGTTTAATGTCACACAACACTAATGAACTGCATAATTTTGCTTAATAAATGGCTTAAAATAAACTGAACAAAATGATCTGCTATAAAAGGACCTCAACAATAGAGTTATGTGGAATCATTTTCTGTTTTATCAGCAAATAATTATTTTGCCTATCATCTGGCTCTCAGTTAGTTCGCAGGTAACGTATTAACATTTGAACGTATTATATTTTACACAAAGGTTATGTTTTTTGTGAGTTTTCCAACAAATGTCTGTCTGTCCGTCAGTTAGCCCACTACAACAACTATGTGATGGATTGCCAGGAAGTTGTGTACAGACATTCACGTTCCTCAGAAGATGAATCCTAAAGACTCCGATGATCCTCTGACTTATCCATA